CATGATTTTTAAATGTATTTTTATTGATTTCAGAGAGGAAGAGAGCGGGAGAGAGAGAATCATTGATCAGCTGCCTTCTGCATGCTCCCTACTGGAATTGAACCTGGGACCCTTCAGTCTGCAGGCCGACGCTCTATCCACTGAACCAAACCAGTTAGGGCAAGCCTTTCTTTCTTTCTTTCTTTTTTTTTTTTTTTAAGTAGGCATTGATTTAAAAAGATGAATAAAAGTAGGATGTGGCTGGGAGAGCTCAAAAGACAGTCTTTGCCTGAGAGGAGGCACAAGGTTAGGTGGGGGAGACAAACACAGGTTAACTGGAGGAATCTGAAGCCACTAATGCACTGAGGGTGGCCACTAACAGCAAATTCACACCCAGGTCAGTTAATGACCAGATCAATGAAAATCCCTACAATAAAGGCCTAGATGAAAGGCATGCTCATCTCCAAACATAAAAAAATAGCGCAGTACCTTTTGTTTTATACAAGGTGCGTGAGATGGTATCTTATTGTAGTTTTGATTTGCATTTTCCTAATTGCTAGTGAAGTTGAACATCTTTTCATATATCTGTTGGCTATTTGTATGTCTTCTTGGGAGAGGTGTATTTTTAGGTTCTCTGCCCAGTTTTTCTTTTTTAATTGGGTTGTTTGTTTGGTGTTGAGTTTTATGAGTTCTTTATATATTTTGGAAATTCAGCCTTTGTTGGAGCTACTGTTTGCAAATATCATCTCCTATCTGGTTAGCTGCTTCTTTGTTTAGTTGTCAGTTTGTTTTTCTGTGCAGAAGCTCTTTAGTTAGATATTGTCCCATTTACTTATTTTTGTCTTTGTTTCCCTTGCCTTTGGGGTCAAGTTCATAAAATGTTCTCTATGATCAAGGTCCATAAGTTTGGTATGTATATTTTCTTCTTTGTAACTTATTGTTTTAAGTCTTATATTTAGGTCTTTGATTCATTTTGAATTAATTGTTGTACATGGGGACAAACTATAATCCAGTTTCATTCTTTTGCATGTGGCTTTCCAGTTTTCCCAGCACCATTTATTGAAGAGACTATCTTACTCCATGTGTGTTTCTGTCTCTTTGGTAAAAAATGATCTATCCAGCCTCGCCCATGTGGCTCAGTGGTCGACCTATGAACCAGAAGGTCATGGTTCGATTCCCAGTCAGGGCATATGCCTGGGTTGTGGGCTCAGTTTCCAGTGTGGGGCGTGCAGGAGGCAGCTCTCATCATTGATGTTTCTATCTTTCTCTCCCTCTCCCTTCCTCTCTAACATCAATAAAAATATATTTTAAAAAAAAGAATGATGAGAGTGGACATCCTTGTCCTGTGCCTGATCTTAGAGGAGAAGCTTTTAGTTTTTTACCATTTAGTATGATATTAGCTAAGAGTTTATCATAGATGGCCTTTATTATGTTGAGGAACTTTCATTCTATTTATATTTCTTTTATAGATTGATAAATTCTATTTGCTAATATTTTATTAAGGACTTTTGAATTTTATATTCCTGAGAGATATTGGCCTGCAGTTTTCTCTGTTTTATACTTTGTTTTGTTTTATAAAACAGGCTACATAACATGAATTGGGAAGTAGTTCTTCCTGTTGTATTTCATAGAGGAAATTATGTAAAATTGGTGTTACTTCTTTAATACCAATTTGGGTAGAACTTTTTAGTTAAACCATTTGGGAATGAGATTTCTTATTTATTTTTAAATTTTATTATTATTATATTTTTAATCCTCACTCAAGGACATGCTTTAATTGATTTTAGAGAGAGTGGAAAGGAGAGAAACATCGATATGAGAGTAAAACATCCATCAGTTGCTCCTGCATACTTCCTGACGTATAATTGAATCTAAAACTTGGGTATGTGCCCTGACCAGGAATTGGACCCTCAACCTTTCAGTGTATGGAGAGACTCCAACCAATTGGAGCCACATTGGCCAGGACTGGAGATTTTTTTTCTAAATATGAATTAAATTTTGCTAATAATTTAGGACTGTTCAAATTGTTTATTTTATGTTGAGTGAGTTGTGGTAGTTTATTCTTTTTGAGGAATTGGCCCATTTTGTCTGAGGTCTCAAATTTATGTACTTAGAATTATTTATGTTATTCCCTCATTATCCTTTTGATGTCAGCAGGGTCTATGGCGATATCATCTGTTTTAGCCCTAATAGAGATAATTTTGCTCTTTTCTCTTTTTCTCTTTGTCAGTCTTGCTATAGGTTTGTTAATTTTTATCAATCTTTTAAAAGAATTAGTTTCTGTTTTATTGATTTTGTTCTTTTTCATTTTATTGATTTCTGCTATTATATGATTTATTTCAAACTGCTTGCTTTGGATTTGTTTTGTTCCTTCATATAGAGATGATGGGCTATTTCTCAATGAGAGTTTAGGTTATAGATTGGATACTTTTCCTTCTGTCTAACAAGCTTTCATGTTATAGAAGCCTCTGCTTTAGCAGAATCCATACCTTTTGATATGTTGTGTTTTCCTTTTCAATCGGTTCAGTTTATTTTCAATTCATCTTGAGATTTCCTTTTGGATTTATGGATTATATAGAGATGTGTTGTTTAGTTTCCAAGTGTTTAGAGATTTTCCTGTTATCTTTAGGCTGTTGATTTCTCATTTGAATTCACTGTGATCAAAACACACACTCTGTTTGTCTCCAATTTTTTGAAGTGACTTTAGGTTTGTTTTATAGCCCAGGATCTTGTCTATCTTGGTATATGTTCCATGAGCAAATGAAAAGAATGTGTCTCCGCCTTCATTCTTGGGTGGAGGAATATAAATGTTGATTAGATCCTATAGTTGGGGCATAAAGTTCTTTAATATTTTGCTGATTTTCCATGTAGTTGCTCTGTCAGTTTCCAAGAAAGGGGTGTTGAAGTTTCCGACTGTAATTGTACATTTCCCTATTTCTCCTGTCAGCTCCATCAGTTTTTATTTTATATATTTCTTAGCTCTGACGTTTGGATGATATGAACCTAGGTTTGTTAAGTCTTCTTGCTGAGTTTAGTTGTTTCTTATACCTAATGTTCTTTTCTGTCCCTAGTAATTTTCTTTACTTTGATGTTTAGTTTACACAGCCACTCCTACTTTGTTTTGTTTAAATTTTGATGGTGTATCTTTTTCATCCGTTTACTTTCAAACTTTTTATCTCATATTTGAAGTGGTTTTCTTTTCTTTCTCTCTTTCTTTTTATTTATTTTTCTTGAAAGAGGAGAGAGCGCATAGGCCTGAATTTAAGAAGTGAAGCTAATTTAAAAATTAGGAAAAGAAAAGGGCATTAGAGGAAAAAAAATTGAGTAGCGAAGAAAGAGAAAAGAGAAGAAGTATAGTGGTTTTCTTTAGGTATCACATACGTGGATCATTTTTTATCCATCTGCCAATTTCTTTGTCTTTAAATGGGCGTATTTAAACTTTCCTTCGTATCTCTTCACCTTACCTTACCTGTTTACCATGTAACTATCTGGAATATTCCCACTACATGCATTGAGAACTACATCAGACAGCATTATAATTTTTACTTGAACCATTAAATAAACATAATTTAGAAAACTCAAGAGGAGAAAAAATATATATTTTTTTCATATGGGAACATATGTGAGTAGCTCCATAAAAATTTAGGGATGATTGCTTGGTGAATTGTTATTAAAGGGAAATAATGCTCTGGGGACAGAATTTCCATGTGACTGCTGCATTAAGGAGGCCACAGACGCTTTAAAACCAACAATGTTTCTGGTTCCTGCAGTAAATGCAGAACGGGTCCTGGATGGCGCTTCTGGTGACAGATGTTTACTATGTTCACAGTGAACCCCACTGACCAGTGCAGATTCAAAGGATTCCAGGGAAGGCGGGTTCTCCCTGAATTCCCACCAGGAGGGAGTCTCCAAGCTTAAGCTTCCACCAGAGGGAACAGAGGACGTCGCTGGGGAATCTCCCTCCCATAACCCGCACTCATATTAATGGCTGGTCCCTCATCGCAACACCTACCCCCGTGGACCACACTCCCTCAATCTAAGGGCCCTGCCTCCTCAGGGGCCCAGCCAGGTGGTTCAGGTGAGGTGCTGGAATGGGGATGTTGCCTTCCTCCCAGGCCAGGCCAGCAGTGGCTACCCTGGGTACTGTAGCCAGGATGGGGACAGTGCAGAGAAATCCAGAAAATGTAGAGAATGCTGATTGGGTCAGGAGAAGCAGCTGGCAGAAGCCCAACCAGACCTTACACATGAGATTTTAGCCAATCAGAAAAAGGTGTCTACACTGACAACCCTGTTGCTAGTAGAGAGTCTGTGTGAAGAGGCCTGTGAGGCCTGGGAATCCCCAGGCCTGACGCAGCCACCACTGCACAGCCCAGAGCAGAACTGATGGAGTTTCTCCCCACGACAGGAGGGAGGTGATGGGTAGGAGGCCTCTGCTGATTCTGAGGGATCCTGAGGTGGGGGCTTAGGGCACTGAGGCACCTTCAAGTTCCTTCTCTATTGTTCCTTGTCCCCCAGCCCTATTCCAATCCCCTGACTTAGGGGCTCTGGAGCTATGCACCCAACAGAGAAATTGAAACCAGCTCACTGCCTCCACTTACAACTAATGCGCCCTCTTGTCACTGCCTCCTCCCTGCTTCTTTTACCTGGTAAACTCCTTATGTTCTGCTTTCAGATACTGTCCTTAAATTTAAAAGGAGAACCTAAAATCTAGGAGAGAGAGAGAGGGAGAGAGAGATCCTTGTTGTCTTATTTATTAATGTTTGCCAGGCATCGTCTTAATTGCTCTATAACCATTCAGTACTACCCCTCACCCTGGGCGAGAGAAGCCTGAGGAATAATACGTTTATTAAAAACCACATCAATAGTTCTGCCTGTGGGGTTTGATGCTCAGGAGCTGCACCGTACAAGCTGTGTGTGTGAACACCTGCTCCCTCAGTCACACTGCAGGCCCCAGGGTGCTTCTCCACATCTTTGCTGTCTGACCTGGAGCCACAGGTGCCTGTGTCCTGTTGATGTGAAGGTTTATGGTTGTGCCTTTGAGACATCAGATGGATCAGGGAGGACTGAAGCAGCCAAAGAGCTTAGAAGAGAAAAATCAACCTCAGTGTAGAATCCACCTCAGAATATCCCCTAGAGAAGTGAGGGAGCAGGGGTATTTATCTCATCTTTCCTAAGCCTTCAGATACCCCCACGGCCATTAAACCACAGCTCTTGTGGCCGGCCCCAAAGGCAGGCTGAGAAAATCCTCACATGGAGAGTTTTCAGAGCTTGAAATAGGCTGCATCCAACAAACAAGCAAAAAAGTAAAAGAAAAATCATCTTAACTTTCAAAGACTTGCATTCAAAGAGCACAAATGCAGTAAATTCTCGCATAAGGAAGACTCACTGGCCTGCAGGGCTGGAGTCATTTTGTGTGAGATATTCCCAACAGCTACACATGCAGCAGAGCGGAACAATTTGCAGTATAAGAGCAGTCATATGGCTGTGAGTGTGTGTGTATGAAGATTAGATGTAAAATGCATGAAACATGATCCACATTTTCCAAAGAGAAACCTGAGGCTAAAAGAGGTTGAGCAACTTGTTGTCTCATAAAGCGCATTCTAGGTAGAGCTGCAGCTCAAAACCATTCCTCTCACGACTCTGCTCTTCCCACCATGGCTTCAGGCTCCTGATTGTTTAAGATAATAGAAGGGAGCATCTCTGTGACAATGATTTTCTCTCCCTGATACATGATCCCCACTTATTTCCCTCCTAAAAATCTCATGTGTAAGAACAATAGGTTTTAACTAAATGTCACAAAGATGCCCACTCTTGAATCACCTTTCTCTCTTGGTTCTTTAATTCCCAAGGCATTCACCTTCTGTAACTGAGAGAGAAAGTCTTTAATGTTCACCCAGTGCAATTCGATGAAGGCTGGGTTCCAGGCACTGGCTAAGGGACCTCCGTAGAAGGCATCTGCCCAGAGACAGATGAGGTGGGTCAGCTCCAGTGCTGATTGGCTGCTTTCCTGGGGTCTCTCCAGTCTGACCCTGTGTGGCAGCTCTCACAGGTTTTTATTCTATGAAGTGGCTGCATCAGCCATCAGGTGGAGCGGGCTCACTCCCTTACTTCTTCCTTTATCTCCATCATGTCTGGGAAGCCGGCTCTGTGGCCCCCCGGCGGCCCCTGGACAGCAGCTGTGATAGTGTGGCTGGTGGCGCTCAGTGTCCCAGTGGCCGAGGGCAGAGACTCTCCACGTCAGTGCAGGGCAGCTGCCCCACCGCCAGCCCGGGGTGGGCTCTGAGGGACCCTTGGCTGGGGCGTGGGGGGCTATGACCTGAGAATAGTCTGTGATCAGCATTTCCTCTTTGGGAAAGGGAGCTGCTATGTTCTCATGTCCGCCATCTGGTGACAAGGTGAGGACATGGCCATGTCAGGGGCTCCATCCTGGGGATGTGGGCGT